AACATGGAAAAAAAATAACCAACACCCTGCCTCCAACCAAGAAAACATAACCAACACCCTGCCTCCAACCAAGAAAACATAACCAACACCCTGCCTCCAACCAAGAAAACATAACCAACACACTGCCTCCAACCAAGAAAACATAACAAACAATCCTGCCTCCAACCTGAGACACATACACACACAGGCAATTTTACAAAAAATCTCAAAACTGACCTGACTCATGAGACTAGTAAGAATGTTATCGCCTTGGAGTGAGAATGGAGCCATAAAACTACCATCACCTCCAAAAATGATAGGCATTGGAAATCTTTGTTGAAGGCGAGGAGGAAGATCAGTCCTCTTTTCATCTCCACCAAGGAAGAAATCCACATATGCTAGCATTAAATCAGAAGTTGCAGCAACCTACACCGTAAGCAAAGATTAAATACTTCAAGACAATGCACTGAGACCAAAAGGGACGTCAAAGTTATGGAAAAGGTGTATAAAAGTTATATTAAGTAATGTATAAGAACTCAAAACACCAATATGAAAGAGATACAAACATATCGAGTAGCATAAAGCACAGATAGATACCATCAGAATTGAAATTTCATAAGACCTAACAAAAGAAAAGGATTCTGATGACAATAAGCAAAGAAAAAAATCAAGCTAATAAGGTAAACGGCAAACTCCCAGAATTATTCTTTCTGGAGAGACAAATTAGAGATGAAACTAACACAATGCTTTCCCTGAATTGCATACTTGACAAATTAGCGTAAAAAAATGTGGCTTCCTTCATTTTAGGCCGAAATAGAACTCTCATTTTGCAACATGCAGATGTATGTAGAGAAAATTTTCTAACACTTTCTTGTTCCAAAGTAGACAGCAAAACGATCTCTAAATAACCATCCTGAATAGGAAAATTTTCTCCCTTTTGGAGTAAAAAGTAACATTTATACAATGTAAAGGGATTTCGGGGTCGGGGGAGAGGAACCTTAGTGAGACCCAGAATTACAAAAATAATATGGAACTAGTATTATAATTTGGTATCTTCAATTTACTCGGCGTATTTAGATAGATCTTAAGTATTATTAGTAAATGGAAATTTTTTATTTCTTCTTCTTTACTGCAATGTTTTCCTTATTAATTATAATTATTAGCTATGTAAAGGCCATTTACTTTCATAACAGTAATCAATTAACAATGATGAACTGTGAATTTATTGGTTTTGATTTTATTCACTGCTTATCTCTGTTTTTTCTTCTGTCTGGCCTACCACATTATGTCTGATCCCTAGCTTCCTCTCATTAAAGAGGAAGTAAATCAGGATGTTAAAGAAAAAGGAAATCAAAAGGTTAGAGGAAGCAGCAAACCAGGTTAAAAGAGTATAAAGATAAAGTTACATCTTTATAATTAATTATAATTAATTGTCTATTTTCTTTTTTCGTGTAAGAAAACCTATATATAATGCTATTATACTCAATAGAACACACATTAATTGAAAAAACTATTCTTAACATGGTACCGGAGCTCTAAGTTAAAGAAACTCTAAACTCTTATCAAAAACCCTAAAGAGACATTTGGCCTTCATTGCTGGGCTACATAAAACAGAAGTCTGATTTCATAGCCGGAAAATGCCTCTGTTTCAGCCAGAACAGCCAGCCACACAACTTTGTTTAGCAAGATCTATTATCAGCCGCCACTATTCTGTTTTGGCTCTCTTTTTGCAACTTATCTGCTGCACACTGCTCTTTTTCGCTCTGTTCCCGCATGCTCTTGCTCCAGCAGCAAATGCTCTGTTTCGTGCTCTATTTTTGCTCTGTTTCTGCATATTTGGGGTTGATCAAGGCAATTTGCCATTAATGTCTGTATT